ACAGGAATCTCTCCCCCGTTCAGGTTTTTAGAGGGCTAACAGAAAGCTTATCTTTTGCTTTCCTTTCTCAATTTAGAGTACTCTAAACTATTCTTGCTTGGCCCTTAAGAATCTTAAATAGTTGCTTGTTTGGTTTCTTGCTTTATAATTTTTTAATAACATGCAGAGATTATAATTTCTCGAATGTGTCTTCACTGAGAAAATAAAAGTAAGAATAAGAACTGAGTTTTAAATTATCTACATAAAGATCATCTAAATTAAAAGCACAACTAGTGAATTCAAATTGTGATGTTTGAAAAAAAACCTTTGCTCTGTTTTTCAGTACTCAGTCTCCTTTACTTTAACTGAAAGTTACAACTCATATAATTACAAATAAGGCAGAAGTGTTCTTATGAGTGACTGGCTTTTGTTTTCACCATCTGATTTACTTTTCACCATTTACATTACCGTATATATACAGAATCACAGAAAATTAGGGTTGGAAGAGAGCCTCAGGAGGTCATCTCATCCAACCCCCTGCTCAAATCAGGACCATCCCCAACTTTATCATCCCAGCCAAAGCTTTGTCTAGCTGGGTCGTAGAAGCTTCCAAGGATGGAGATTCCACAACCACTCTGGGTAACCTGTTCCAGTGCTTTACTGCCCTCCTGGTGAGAGAGTTTTACCTGATACTTAGTCTAAATTTCTCTTGACAGCCATTGCTCTTCGTTCTGTTATCTGCCACCATTGAAAACAGTCTAGCTCAGGGTGCACGAGTATTTGGGCTGAAGGGCCACTTAACAAGTTTTGGTGACCTGTTGAGGGCAGTACGTGTGCGTGCACACACAAGCTCCACGCGGCCGGGCTGAGGCTGATGCCAGAGCAGAAGTGGGAGCATGAGTCTGCCTGGGGCTGTATTTCCACTCCTACCTGCCCAGCTTGGCTGACACCAGCAGACAGACATATGTTGGGGGTGCAGCTTTGGCACTTGCAGCTCCACAGAGCTGGGCTGCAGGGGGAGGGGAGTATGCCCCTCTCTCTTGACCTCCTCCCCCTGACCCCACCTGCTGTGCAGACCCCAGCTGGACAGAGCTAGGGCAGAGGGGGCTCAGTTCTTCGCTTTGCTTGCCCGCCTTGCTGTGTAGTGCCAGGCAGAAAGGCAGGGCTCTGGCCTCTGCTGGCACAGCAGGAAATGCTGCGTGGAAGCAGCCCTGCCTGCCTGGCACTGTAGGGTCAGACTCCATTTCACAGGCTGCTGCAGGGTGGGCACCAGGGCTGTTTCCACTCAGCATCCCCTGCTATGCTACCAGAGGCCCACAGGTGGGTGGTGGCAGTGGCTCCAAATCCAGCCCTTGCTGCCACTGTGGAAGGGACAGAATTAATTGGTAGGCTGAATATGGCTGCCAGGCTGTATTTTGCCCACTCCTGGTCTAGCTCCATCCTTTTTGTAACCACCATTCAGGGACTTGAAGGCTGCTATTAAATCCCCTCTCAGTCTTTGTTTCTCCAGACTAAATAAGCCCAGTTCCCTCAGTCTCTCCTCACAAGTCATGTGCTCCAGCTCACTAACCATTTTTTTTGCTGTCTGCTGGACTCTTTCCAACTTTTCCACATCTTTTCTATAGTGGAGGGCCCAAAACTGAACACAGTACTCTAGATGTGGCCTCACCAGTGCTAAACAGAGGGGAATAATCACTTCCCTCAGTTTGCTGGCAACACTCCTACTACTGCAGCCCAGTAAGCTGTTAGCCTTCTTGACAACAAGGTCACATTGTTGGTTCATATTCAGCTTCTTATTCACTGTAACCCCCAGGTCCTTTTCTGTGGAGATGCTGCTTAGCCAATCAGTCCCCAGCCTGTACTGGTGCACGGGATTTGTTCTGCCCTAAGTGCAGGAGTTTGTTCTTGTGATTATTGAACCTCATTAGATTTATTTTGTTCCAATTACCCAATTTGTTGATGTCTCTCCAAATCCTAGTCCTACTCACCAGTATACCTACTACTCCCCCCAGCTTGGTGTCATCTGCAAACTTACTTACGGTACACTCCATCCCATCTCCCAGGTCATCTATGAAGATATTGAACGAAACTGGCCTCAGAACTGATCCCCTGGGCACTCTACTTGATACTGGCTGCCAATTAGACATTGAGCCATTGATTACTACCCTCTGAGCCCAACCCTCCAGACAGTTTTCTGTCTACCTTACAGTCTATTCATCAAACCTATACTTCCCTCAGCTTGCCTGTGAGAACGTTGTGGGAGACCATATCAAAAGCCTTGCTAAAATCAAGGTATATCACGTCCACTGTCCTCCCTGCATCTACTGAGGCAGTCATCTCATCATAGAAAGCAATCAGGTTGGTCAGACACAACTTGCCCTTGGTGAATCCATGGTGACCATTCTAAATCATCATCCCCTCCAAGTACTTAGCGGTGGCTTCCTTTCCTTGACGACCTGTGCTCCATGATTTTTCCAGGGACTGAGGTGAGGTTGACTGGCCTGCAATTCCCTGGATCCTCCTTCTTCCCTTTCTTAATGATGAGGACTATAGTTGCCCTTTTCCAATTGTCCAGGATCTCCCCAATCACCACAAGTTTTCAAAGATAATGGCCAGCAGTGCTGAAATCCATCAGCCAACTCCCTCAGCTGCATCCTGTCCAGCCCCAAGGACTTGTACACATCCAGCTTTTCTAAGTAGTCCCTAACCTGCTTTCTCCACTGTCAGCTGCTCAGCTCTTCCCCATACTGTGTTGCCCAGTGCAGTAGTCTGGGAACTGACCTTGCCTGTGAAGACTGAAGTAAAAAAGGCATTGAGTACGTCAGCCTCTTCTGCATCATCTGTCAGTACATTGCCTCCCTCATTCAGTAAGGGACCCACAATCCCTGATCTTCCTCTTGTTGCTAACATACTTGTAGAAACCCTTCTTGTTACCCTTCGCATCCCTTGCTAGCTGCAACTCCAGTTGCACTTTGGCCTTCCTGATTTAATCCCTGCATGCCTGAATAATACTCTTATAGTCCTCTCTAGTTGTTTGTCCAAGGTTCCACTTGTAAGCTTCCTTTTCATGTGTTCCCTGATAAGCTAAGCTGGTCTTTTGCCATACTTGCTAGCCTTCCTGCACATTGGGAAGGTTTGTTCATGTACCCTCAGTAAGGTGTTTTTTTTTGTTTTTTTTTTTGTTTTTTTTTTTTTAAGTACAAACAGCTCTCCTGGACTCCCTTCCCTATCAGTTCCCTGAGTGAGTCGAAGTTTGCTTTTCTGTAGTCCACAGTCCTTACTCCGCTGCTCTCCTTCCTTCCTTTCCTCTGGATCCTAAAAGCAATCATCTTGTGGCCACTACTGCCCGTTTCCATCCATTTCTACATTCCCCACCAATTCTTTTCTGCTACTGAGCAGTCAATTAAGGGCACAACTGCTAGTTGGCTGTTCCAGCACTTGTATCAGGAAGTTGTCCTCTGCGCTTTCCAAAAACTTCCTGGATTGCCTGTGCACTGCTGTATTGCCCTTCCAACAGATTTCAGAGTGATTTAAGTCCCGCATGAGAACCAAGAAACTTCTAGCTGTTTGATGAAAGCCTCATCCACCTGGCCTGGGGGTCGATAGCAGACATCCACCATGATATTATCCTTGTTCTTCCCTATGACCCTAACCCAGAGACTCAACAGGCCTGTCTCCAGTTTCATACTGGAGCTCTGAGCAATCATATAGCTTTTACATAAGGCACAACTCCTCCTCTTTTTCCCCTACCTGTCCTTCCTGAACAGTTTAAACCTATCCATGACCATGCTGCAGTTGTGCAAACTCTCTGAAGTCTCTGTTATTTCAATCACATAATAGTTCTGACTGTGTGAGAACTTCCAATTCTTCCTGCTTGTTTCCAGGCTCTGTGCAGTTGTGTATAGACATCTGAGGTGGCTAGCTGACTGCCCTACTTACTCAGGAAGAATGAGGCGGCTTCCCCTGTTGGCCCCTCCTGCTTGTGCTTCCTCCAGCTCACCTGCTTCCCCATTTATCTCAGGGCTTTGGTTTCCATCCCCTGGTGAACCTAAAGCCCTTTTCACCAGGTTAGCAAGCCTGTCTGCATAGATGCTCTTTCCTTTCTTCATCAGGTGGATACTATCTCTTGATGGGCTGCCAGAAAGAAGTGGGATAAAACCTTCTCTGTTGCCACAGAGTGGAGAACACAGACCAATGGCTTGAATTTGTAGCAAAGTAAGTTTAGATCGGATATTTGAAAAACTTCTTAATTGTTAGAATAGTAAAGCCTCAGGAATCTGTGTACTTTCTATCACTGGAGGTGCTCAAGAAGAGGTTGGCCAGCCTCTATGCCTATGTTCAATTATGAGTATTTCCCATGCTTCTGGACTTTGCTAGTTGCCCCTGCCCTCCCTTTTCTACGGTGTGTCACAGTGTTTTTAAGCCTCCCTCAGAGGCACTGGCTACAGCCAAGGCAGGGGATTTTGGTCCCAGCAGAGCCAACGCTACTGCTGGGACCAAAGCTGGAGGATCCCAGGTAGAGTGTTTTGCCCCTTGCTCAGTGTCAGACTGAACACCATATTTGGGTTCAGGAAGGAATTTTACCCCATGGTCAGATTGGTGTGGACTGTGGGGGTTTTTGCCTTCCTCTGTAGCAGGGGACCCTGAACCAAGGATCTCTACAGCATATACTGACAGCATTTTATAGAAGCAGGACATCGGCTGCTATGGTTCCCCTGCCTTAGCTGAGGCAGGTTAGGGTATTAGGTCTGTGTTGTGTCAGGGATTACAGTAGATTTGTACAGAATTTAGATTATGGTTTGTATGGGATCATCCTGCCTCAGGCAGGGGTTTGGACTAGATGACCTATGGAGTTCCCTTCCAGCCCTACTTTTCTATGATTTTATGACTCTTATCCCAGCCTTGCAATCACTGGCTACAAGCAACTTTTCCATTTTTCCCCCGCCTAAATAAGTACATGCATATAGTAGCATGCCTGCAGAAGGCTACTCGGGAGAAGTTGGAGAGTTGGATTTTTCACCTAAGAATTTTTATTCTCACAAAGCTTATGTATAAAACAACACTGAGCTCTCTCAAAGTATCATTATTATACAAGGGCAACACAGAAGTTCACTTCTCCAGCAATGAAAATGGTAGCATATCACATGGAGCAAGGGTGAGAGAATTTTTTAATGCTTTTCTTTTCTTGAAGGGGAGGGGGAGAGCTACACTTTATCATCAGACATTCTTTGGTAAATTCATGATAGCAGCATTACAGTGGGCAGAATTTTTATGAAGGTTTTAGTTAACAACAATGAAAGGGTAGGAGTAAATCAGATGTAACAGCTTTATGACAGAGAATTTATTCAAAAGAACTTCCATATTGTGTTATACATGCAGTGTGGAAGTCCTTAAATATTCCAAAGTGCAAAATGGGTTAAAGCTTGTGTGTTGCAAACTGATTTTTAAAAAAAATAAATCATCTTTTTTTTGCCCCTTTATGGATAAGGCCAAAACAACAAGAACCAACAGACACTTCAGAGAAGTTAGCCATGGTTTGTTTGTTTTTTTTAATACAGATGTAGTACAGAATGTTTAATGTAGTACAGCAGGACAGTGTTTCCAGTTAAATAAAATTAAAAACCTTTATTTCCCCAAATATAAAATTACTAAATTAAATGTCTTAAAAGAATAATAATATGGTAAAAGCTTTAAATTACACCACCATTTACCACAGTAATTATGATCACCAATTACATACTCCATCACTTTGGCAAAAAGATGATTTTTTAAACAATGTATAAACCTAACATAGCAAAGACTGTATACATCTTTGTATTGCACTTATTTATATACAAGAATAAACAATTGTAAAATCAAATATATAGCATATACCTAGAATGAGCACAAAATTGTCACAAACTTAAAGCAGAGGATTGAGAGCTGGTATGAGTATTAAAAATGTTTAGAAATGTAATTAATTTATGTACAGAATGCATGGACTGTATTAACAAACAATATGTACATATCAATTTACTATTAATAATATTAAAGTATAAGTTGGTGTTCATTAATACAGACCTTTGGTTGTACTTAATTATTTTAATCAGCTTTAAGCTCACATACTTTCAAAATGCCAACAAGGTATAAAATGGAGCACAGCAATTTGTCAATGGTACAAAAACTACTATTGTCAGTTCCATTAAACCCAAAAAACTAGTGTCTCTATCTAGTCCCAAAATAGTTCTTGTATTTGGAATCAATCAGTATGTGCCATACATAAAAAGAACACCTGAACATTATATATATGCAAACTTACATTCCACAAACACTTTTTCTGTAATGTGCCATTAATTTGAAAAATACTTTCAAAGGAATAAGAGAAATTAACTTCCATGATAAAGTTTCCAACACACACCTCTGTAAAGACATTGTGAACATTTTTAACATTGCCAGCAAAATTCAAAAATATATGTGCACCCTTTTGTTTTTCTACAGAACTATAACCACTATTTATCTAGTCTTGCGCCTCCCCCAATATTTAAGTGTGCTCAGTCTTTAGTATTAATTTACATGGCTTGTATGTGCCTAATATTTAGCTCTGAAATCATCCTGAGTTTGGAAGTGTTACAACATATCCACGCACACTTTAAGAAAAATTTACTTTCCTTTACGTAACAATCATGCAACTGAAGATGATGTGGGCATCCCATGAACTGTTGTGCTTGTTGGAGTTCCACTTATGGCGTTGAAAATGTGTAGCGAATTAGATATAACACTGGTCTTTTCTTCAACAGGAGTAATCTTAAATGAAAAATAGATATCTTTACCATAACTTGATTACATGCATATACAATCAATTACAAAAATGATATATAAAAAACAATAAAATACTGGTCAATTTTTATAATGTGCTCTTTATCTACTCTTTTTTTTTTTTTTTTTTTTTTTTTTTTTTATATATTACCATCAGCTACACAATTTTTAAGGGTTTATTAACACCACTACCAGAAATCCTACTCTAAATTTTTAGGCTGCATGTTTGACATCCCTGCTCTACAGCATATTGCTGAGTTTAGCACCACAACAATGGATAATAAATATTTTTTCAACATTAGATAAATCCTCCCAATTCAAACTTTACACATTTCTCATTGGCTGAGACTTGAATAGCTTCTTTTTCCTTTTAGAACTTAAGGGACCAAACATCATTAGAAAGCAGGAATAACCCTAAAGTCCCAGAGAGTAAGGAAAAGTTCAAAGCAGACTTGCATAAACTCAGTTTACAGATTGTTCACTTCTCGTTAAAGCAGCAAAAGTTTTAGCCTCAGCTGTCCCAGAAAGTGTTACGGACAAGATGATAAATGTAATAATTATGTTAATCACTCAAATCCTTTGCTGTACTTTGACACTGACTACTCTACTATCATTTTCCCTCTGAAATTAGATTCCCTTCTTCCTAAAAGACTGTGCAAGTTTTACTGCCACATAGGAGTGCGAGACAGCCTAGTCAAAGGATCTTACAGTAAACAACTGCTACTCTGACCATATTGTATAGCAGGGGTGTCAAATTTACCACTTGCCCTGGGCTAGGATCCAGCCCCAGACATGTGTTTTGTGCTGGGGCAGCACCTCCAGCTATGGGTCCAGCATGGGGCTGAGGAGCTGGAGCCGGTGTCACTCTGGTGGCAACAGAAGTGGCTGGAGGGTGACCAGGGCTGTATCAGATCTTGCTTGTCCTATTGCTGCTGACTGCCATGTCCACTGAGGCCCAAGGGCTCTGGATTCTGCAGCAGGCTGCTCCCCCCAACCACTCTCCTCAACTTCTGGAGGCATGCTGGTAGACTGGCATGCAGGATACAGCAGCTCTGCAGGCTGGGCTGCATGTTTGACATCCCTGCTCTATAACATATTGCAGAATTTAGCACCACAGAAATTAATTTTCCTCCTGTATAACTACAGTAAAAAGGAATGATAGAAAGCTAGGCAGAGGGGCTAAAAAACAAAAGTACAAAAAAAATTACCATCCCATCTGATCATGTTTGCGAAAGTAGTATGGGAGAGAGAGAAAGAAAATGGTTAATTTTTATTTCTACAAAGCCCCTTGCTATTTCATTTAATGCATCATGACGTTTCCTGCAATCAGCTGTTTAAACATTTTATAATATTAGCTGTTCTAATTTGTTAAATTTGATGTTTCAGTGCTTACACAACCAACAAAACATTACTGAAAACGTTCAGTATATTTCCAATTGCAGAGCCAAGTCAGGTAATTAACCATAGCATTTTTATAACAATCAGAACAATGAATTTCAGACTAAATGGATTACAATTTTATCTCAATTATTTCACTGTAATTTCATTCCCTAAAAGAAACTTTCAGGTCTTGAAATTTAAGTTACAACTTAAAAGAAAAATTTGGATCAATACTTACATGCAACCTGTCCAATTAAATTAGCAGATTTACTAACACAGCACACCTGTATAACACCACACTGGTAATGTACAGAACACCAATGAATTTCATGCAGAAGGTTGATGTCTGGATCAATTTTTCCTAGTTCACTTGGTCATTCCCCCCCAGGTCATTGCTTCTCTGTATATTGCCATGGTTGTTGCCTGAAAAAATTCTACTTTCCAAGTCAATATCCAGTTTCTCTGCCATATGGCCAAGTCTTGAAAAAGCTTCACTTCACTGAAGGAGGTTTGCCTGATCTCATTGGAAAGGATAGAGAGATACTGGAAGTTTGTGCTTCTTATATAGGTTGTTGCGGAACACAGGGCAAGAAAGGCTGTCCATCATATACATACCCTTTTATACTCTTCCCCACTCCACATTGACAAGCCAGGGCCAGATTGGTGCTAACTGGATTTATTTCCTTGGTGAAAGGGATTTAGTTCAAGAGACTATGGAAGTATTTGCAATACCACAATACTATAAAAAGTATTTTACAAAATACTGTAAAAAACCCTAGTATTCACTTAGATTGATTTTTTTTTTTTAAATGGACAAAATTTGGGACAGCCATGTTGTGTTCAGACTTCAACACAAGAACATCTGATGGAAGAGTGGACTATACTTATTTGTTTTAAATGAGTAGGTGTAGTCTTGCCCTTATTGCCCTAAATCTGTAACCATTTGTTTTCCCCAACAGGTTCAGATTACAGCACAAGAAACTTCATCCTGAATAGTGTTACATTTAAATAAACTCAGTACATACTTGTTCATGCATTATTTCGGAAAGCTCTTTTGCCATTTCTCTGTAGTTTGCCTTCATTTCTTCCTGATACTCTAACTGATCTTCCTTTATAAGTCGTTCATTTACCCCCAGGGCATGACCACAAGCCTCAACAAACTGTCTGAAATTGTATAAAAACAGAAAACAAAGTGAGACGAAGAGAACATCCACAATAATTATATCTAATGTTACTTAGTAATTTTGTACTCTCAATGCAACTGAGACATTGCTAATGCAGTTAATTCATGAGTAAAAAGAAAATTTCAGTCTTGAAAAAAAAACAAGTCAGTGTATTTTCAGACAGTATACCTGAAAACTTCCTTCAGTAACTTCACTTTATTGTCTGGATATCTTTTGGTGTTTGTAGCATCTAAGAAAGCTCTTGCATATGCTAATGGACCAGCATTAACCTAAAACAAGAACAACAATAATTTAAAATAAAGCTAATTTGCTACTTTCCCATACTATCCCAACTAAAGCACTCAGTTGTTTAAAGAAGTTAGATTAGCTTGTTTTGCTTAAGTGAGCTTACTGCTTTTTGGAAGTAATGGACTTCCAAAAACTGACAAAAGTTTTTGTCAAAACTTTTGTCATTTTTGACAAAAGTCAAACTTTCTTCCCTCTCCCACACCCAAGACAGTGCTTGTGTCCTATCTAAGTATCAGGATCTCTATTTGGGCACTAATCTATAGTCTGGCGTGGCAATGGGAAAATCCTTGAGAAGCAGCTCATTTACTAACTGACACAACCCCTGACAAGGAAGTATCTGTTAATCAACAACAAACTGCTGGGTGCACACTTGACAGACTACAAGGTATACTCTAGTTCCGGTTGCGTGAACAATTTATTTCACAATTCAGAACTGTTAGATGATAGCTTTGATTACAGTATTGCTTCATATTGAACATTTCAAATAATTCAAACTTCTTTAGTTGCTCATTCTGTTCACATACCAATTTGTGTTTTTACAGCATGCCAAGTCCATCATAAAATGCACTGTACATACAAATCATTTTGAAGGGCTCCCATAAGTGTTACTGGAGTCATCTTTCGTGACTATTAGATATTTCTAAAATGTGACAGAAATATCTTTTCCTAATATATTTGTATTTGATAGGTGCAAAACCAACACAGCTCACTATTTTGAAATAAGTGATAGATCATAGGGAATAAATAAATAGTCTTTTTTTAAAGAATTTTACAATTAAATTAATTTTGAGCCCTGTGGGTAATCTGCCCCTTGGTTCCTTCCCTACCCACCTATCAAATATAGAGTCCCCAATCTCAGCACCGACAGTAAAGAGATGGCCAACAGCAGATAGACTACTGTCAATTAAGTTTGCCTCTAGGAACAAGGCTGCTTGCTATATCTGCTGTGTATGCAAATCTTAAAATGCAGTGACTGAACTGATCTTTTTAAATGTAGGTTTGTTTGTAAAACAGTTACAGATTTTGAAATTCTTACATAATTATAAGGAAAATGGAGGTAAAATTTTCTAGCTAAAAATACCTTTATTAGATGGCCAATTACACCCAAACACTCTATAGTTGTGTAGTTACACATGTGCATGTTAAAAATACAGATCCAATCTATGTTTAAAAGGACATAATTAATGTTGCGAAGTCAAACACTGAAAAGTTAAAACATTCCAGAATTATGGTTATGTGGAGAATCTTAATTCTGCCCCTTTTTTCATAGATTCATAGATGTAAGGTCGGAAGGGACCTAAGCAGATCTTCAAGTCCGAACCCCTGCCCTGGGCAGGAAAGAATACTGGGTTCATATGACCCCAGCTAGATAACTGTCAAGCCTCCTCTTAAAGACCCCCAAGGTAGGAGCCAGCACCACTTCCCTTGGAAGTTAGTTCCACATCCTAGCAGCCTTGACTGTGAAGTAGTGCCTTCTAATGTCCAGCCTGAACCTACTCTCAAACAACTTATGGATGTTATTCCGCGTGGTGCTTGGGGGAACAGGGTCTCTCCCATTCCCCGCTGGTACCCCTTGGCCAGTTTATAGGCGGCCACCAGATCCCCTCTCAGCCTTCTCTTGTGGAGGCTGAACAGGTTCAGGTCTCGTAGCCCCTCCTCCCAGGGTCTGCCCTGCTATCCCTGGATCATGCGAGAGGTCCTCTTCTGGACCCTCTCGATGCTGGCCACGTCTCTCCTAAAGTGCGGTGCCCAGAACTGGACACAGTACTCCAACTGTGGCCTGAGCAGTGTTGCATAGAGGGGGAGGATCACCTCCTTGGCCCTGCTTGTGGTGCATCTGTGGATGCATGACAAGGTCCGGTTAGCCTTACTGACCGCGTCCTCTCATTGGCGGCCTATGTTCACATTTTGGAATCGATAATGACTCCAAGATCTCTTTCTGCCACTGTGCTTTCAAGAAGGGAGTTCCCCAGCCTATAGCTATGCTGCTGGTTCTTACTGCACAAGTGCAGCACCCTACACTTGTCAGTATTGAATCCCATCCTATTCTCATTTGCCCACCCCTGTAACCTGTCCAGGTCCAGCTGTATCTTGTCCCTCCCTTCTAGCATGCCCACCTCACCCCAAATCTTGGTGTTGTCAGCAAATTTGAACAGGGTGCTTTTCACTCCCTCATCCAAGTCACTAAAGAGATTGAACAGTGTGGGCCCAAGGACCGAGTCCTAGGGGACTCCACTGCCCACATCCCTCCAGGTCAAATATGACCCGTCCGCTGCCACTCTCTGGGTGTGGCCCCTCAGCCAATTTGCAACCCATCTGACTGTGTAGGCATCAGTCCCACAGTCGCCTAGCTTTTTAATGAGAATGGGGTGGGAGACTGTGTCAAAGGCCTTCCTGAAGTCCAGAAAGACTGCGTCCAATGATTTTGTGACCTGATCACAGAAAATCCATTATATCCAAACTAGGCAAGGAAGAGTACATCTGAAAAGAAAAGGAAGTCTATGCTTAAATTACTTAACAAGATTTCCCTATAATATGTATGTACACGCACACTCCTTCACATGATCTATTACAAGTGCATCTTTTCCTCAGTTTCACTATTCTTTTCACATTCTGTCCATCTCTTCTGCTGTGCTTTTGGCTTCACTTTTTCTTCCTAAGCCCCTGACTATGATACAAACCCAAAATGATTACATTTGAAGTGAACTTTAAAACTTAGGCAAAATGAATGAATTATTCCTTTCTGTTTGGGAAGCCACAGTTTTATTTTATTTTCAACCTTTCACTCCAAAACCAAAACGAGCTAAGCTTTTTTTTTTTTTTATATACATACACACACACACACACACACATATACACACACATATACACACACACACACACACACATATATACACACACATATACACACACACACACACACACATATATACACACACATATACACACACACACACACACACATATATACACACACATATACACACACACACACACACACATATATACACACACATATACACACACACACACACACACATATATACACACACATATACACACACACACACACACACATATATACACACACATATACACACACACACACACACACATATATACACACACATATACACACACACACACACACACATATATACACACACATATACACACACACACACACACACATATATACACACACATATACACACACACACACACACACATATATACACACACATATACACACACACACACACACACACACATACACGCACACACACACACACACACACACACACACACGAGATATTTAGCCTTGGGCTCATAAAGCACACAAAAATAGAAACTGTGCAGATGAAAAAGAGCTTAAACTTTTCAGTATTTGTCATTCTATATTTTATTATGAAAAGGAATAGCCATGTTTTTCTGCACAGCCAGCTGCATGATCTTACCTGAACGCTGACGCTTCCCTGTAGCTTTAGTTGTAGTTTGATCATATCTACTTCAGCTGAAGAACAAAGCTGCCTGAGTTCCGCAACCTTTTTGCTCATTGCATCAATGGCAACTTCAATGGGGTTTAGATCACTATGGTGCTGATACATTACAGGAATGCGCTTTTTCACGTAGGGAAAACAGTGTATTGCTAGGACAAGACAATACATAGTTTAAATAACACATTTCTGTCAATGTCATTAGAAACAATGTATAGGTGAAATTTTACAATATTCTTTAAAATCAGTCTACTTTTCTTTTTCTCATTCATACAGCGAACAGCCTTGTCTAGTTAATACAAAACTACAACTGATCAACTACAAAAAACAAACTGGCAAACAGTCCCCAATACCTTTGGCTTAAAACAGCTTTCATTTCTGGCTGTAAACAGTATGAAAAATGAACAAATAGAAGTGCTTTTTTAAAAACTGGAATTAAAAATTATTAACTAAAATATAATTTATTAATAAAAGTGGGGATATTCTGAATTATGACTATATTTATGCTTTTTAAAAGGCAGTTGCCAAAAGCATGGCAAGAATGGGATGTCACAATGGGTGTGAGTAAGCCACTTTCCTCCACCCTGCCAGATGGGTGCTGTCTGGCACAGATATAGCCAAAAACACTTTCTTCAATAGAAAATTTGATACTTTTTTGGAGATTCCAAAGGCTTGAAGAGGAAAAGAAGCAGGAGAGGATGTCTGCGGGTACATGTAAAAGTGGATAATGCCCAGTATTTAATATAGGCAGACAATGTTCTTTGAATATTTAATATTTCTTTTTTGGAGCTTGAGGGTACACTTCTGGAAAAGGCAAAGTGGCTCCAGAGTCTTTTAGCATATGGATAGTCTCACTGGTTTTAGCACTGAAGAGCTCTTTTTCCTCAAAGGTAAAATTCTGAACTTCACTGGAAAACCCAGAAGGTTGCAGGTAGAAGAATGTCTTGGAATTTTAGACAGCTGTGTTCAAACTACAGAGTAGGAGGTGGTATCTGGAGCATCAAGAAATGAAGTCTTTACTGCTATATGCCCTTCAAACTTGAGGACTAAAAGGGCTTCTTTGGATTCCTCACGTAAGGAGTCTGTTATGTTGACCATGAGCTTACTGACATGGAAGCTGGCCAGAAGAACTTGGTAACTGGCTATATTTGGAACTGGAAGCTAGCATAAGGGTAAGTCGTTCAACTCTCTTTCAGGAGTAGTGCGTAATTTGCCCAGCTTCTTTACTTACCCATGCTACCTTCACAGTGCATGACTAGACAATTATTCAGCCCATCTGAGAGAGATTTTTCTTACAATAACGTAACTATGGGTGGACGACCGGAGAATGAGCTAACTTAGAGGGGAATCCAAGAATGGAGCTACCACTGCTCCCAGCCTGTTTACTATATCTGGTACTGGCCTGGCTCTCACCACTGCCCTTATTGCTGCAGCCACCCAGGGTGCAGATCCTTCTGGTTATACTCCTGGTTGACTGTCCTCTTCCAAACCAACATGGTTAGTCCTGTTAACATTTTATTGATTTGCAGGGTTACTTTAGTAGAGCTATGGCACAGCAGTATTTCAACTACACTGTGAGCAACCCCACTGGACTTTCTCTAGTCAGATATGAAAGGCCTGGACTGTATGCTGCATCACATCCTGAAAACCTCAGAACTTATCCTTATTAAATGGGATGACAGATGGACAAGAACCTCATCTGGTATAATGCTGGTGTTGATTTTAGAATAAGTGCAGATACAAGTGCTTAGCATGGTGAAATAATTCCAGAAGTGGTGCTAGAGAAGAAAAAGGACAAGGACTCCCAGGAAAGTGGAAGCTTGTGACCTCTGGCAACAAGCATAAATATTCATCCCCACCTACAGTGGTTTTACTGGAGAACAGATAAGGAGCCCTAGCAACAGAGGACAAACGGCAGTTGGGGAGCAGGAGCGAGGGGAGCAGGGTGCACGTGTGCCTGCTTACCTCGGCGGAGGCGGCAGCAGCAGAAGCAGCAGCGGAGGAAACCAGCGGCGGGGGCAGCAACAGCTGATTCCCCCCTAAAGTAAGTGGGGTAGAGAGCGCAGCACAGCTGAGGCGGATCCGGAGGGGAAGCCCTTCGGTGACGCCTTAGCTCGCCCGGCAGGGAGCCGTGCTCCAGAGCCGCGCGCGAACAGTGCGCGCGAACAGGCGCGCTCTGTAAGAGCGCGCCGGCATTTGCGCCGGCGTTCGCGTAAGGCGGGCGCGAGGGAGCTGCACACGGTAGCTCCGCCAGGGAGTAGGCAGCGGGCACACCTCTGCAGTCATGGTGATGCAGAAGGCCCCAACATGGCCCCCTTACAGGGGTTGACTGAAGGAGCAGTGGGTACATCCAGAGCATTCCTGTATTTCAGCTCTCTACTGTTAGCAGATTTCTTTGAGGACTGGTAGCATTCAGTACAAGTTGGAGGAGCCCTGAGACACCTCTGTTTCTTTGGATTAGTGGCAAGAAAAGGGGTGGGCGGAGACAAGTGAACTCCAGTATGTCCCTGGGACTGGGAGTTGTACTAAGCAAAGCTTGGCTAGACCCATGTGTTAGCTGAGCTAGAGGCTTAGGCTTACTTAAGATGGTAGGAAGGGCTTAGTGTCTGAAAGTCCCCTAAGTTCAGAAAAGAGCTGAACTACTGAATTAAGCAGTATTGGACACCATCCCATAAGGATAAGAACAGACTGAGGACACTCAGGACATCTTTCTTGATGAGGTCAAGATGGGTTGGTACCAGCCTCCAAAGGGCAGTTTTCTGCACCTTCACAGCATCAGTGTAATCGATCAGCAAGACTGTGGTTTTGGGCAGTGGCATAAGTCGGGCAGAGCAAACATGGCAACCAGCCTGGGCGCTGACTTGGGGTGGGATGGGTGGGACAGGGGAAGGACAAGCAAAAAAAGTGGTTGTTGACAGCTATGTGATTGCAATTGTAAACTGCAGCAGCAACTGGAAGTCACTGCTGCCCCTGTGTACCGGGCACCTGGCTAGGTCCCTATGCTGCTGGTTTTGACACTTGGTAAAGTCCTTCTGTAACCCAAAACTAGTATAAGAATGGAGCTATAGTGGCTGTTGACTCACTGTGTATCTCGCGCAGACTTGTAATCAACCTAAACTAGTGATTAGTGAAAAGATGCCTAGCAAGCTAAGTTTATGCCTCTTCTCTGTTACCGTGTGTGCTTAGCACTGCTACAGGTATCATTAAAGCTCTCCCTGAGTAGCACCAAGGGCCTAGAATGGTATAAACTCAAGTATATGCTCTGAGAACCTAATCAGCATGTGCATGCTGGTTTTGTCATTTGGATATTTGCATTGTAGGTATTTGCACAAGTGAATATTAAATTTGGTGGCATCACTTCTATAAGTTTGGTCAGACTTTCAGGTAACTACATGTAACCACATATAAAAAGTTACTTGTATGTAGTATACTATAGTTACTTTTTCTTCCTGTACATTACCTCTTCACTTAAAGCCATGTTCCTTATTCTGGCATGCCTGTGGGTATCAGGGGGGGGGGTGGGACTTTATGTCAAGGAGCACTACACATCCTCTGCCAGCAGTATGGGGTCAGGGGAAGGGCGAGCTGAAGTGCTCTGGGTCAAGATCCAGGGGGGGCAAGGCGAGAGGGATTTGACGGTGGGGGTCTATTACAGACCCCCCAATCAGGAGGAGGAGCTGGACAGGGAATTTTCAGGCCAGCTTGCGGAGACACTAAAAGCAAGGGATGTAGTTGTCATGGGCGATTTTAATTACCCGGACATCTGCTGGGAGGAGCAGTCAGCCGGGACGGACCGCTCCAGGAGGTTCTTGGCCGAGTTGCAGGACCTCCACTTGATTCAGGAGGTGCACAGTCCCACCAGAGGAGATGCTCTGCTGGACCTGGTCCTGGCCGCAGGCGACGACCTGGTAAGAGGCCTCCAGGTTCTTGACCACCTGGGCAATAGTGATCATCGCGTGCTGGAATTCACCATCCAGCGTAGAGTGTCAAGGGCCCGCAGCAAGGTGGTGGCCCTAGACTTCAGGAGGGCCAACTTCAGTGAGATGAGGAGATTAGTGGGAGAGGAACTGGGGTCCTTGAGGGCAGAGGAACTCAGCGTCCAAGAGGAGTGGTCGTTCCTTAAGGAAACGATACTCGGGGCCCAAGGGGTGTCCATCCCGACAAGAAGCAAGGCGGGCAGGAGTGTCCAAAAGCCCCCCTGGCTCACCAAGGGTGTCCGGGAATGCCTGCTTGCCAAAAGGGTGGCGTACGCCCGGTGGAAGGGGGGTGTAATCTCCAAAGAGGAGTATACCTCCTCTGCTCGGGCCTGCAGGCGGGCTGTTAGGAAGGCCAAGGCGGAGATAGAGCTCGGATTAGCGTCCAGGATTAAGGATAACAAAAAGTCCTTTTTCAAATATATTGGGAGGATGAAGAAGGCGCCGGGTAATGTGGGGCCCCTGCAGGATATGCGGGGCAATCTGGTGGTTGCGTCAGAGGATAAAGCGGACCTCTTTAACCAATTCTTCACCTCCGTTTTCTTGTGCAGGGACCGGGACTTCCCTGCTGTGATAGAAGCCGGACGCGAGGGGATCGCCTTCAGACCTCAGGTTGGGGAGGACCGGGTTAGAGAGCTTCTGGAGGGGCTGGACGCGTTCAAGTCAGCGGGTCCGGATGCTCTCCACCCCAGGGTGCTGAGGGAGCTGGCTGGGGTTATTGCAGGGCCCCTGGCACGGCTCTACGAGCGATCGTGGTGCTTGGGCCAGGTGCCAGACGATTGGAAGGTAGCTAATGTGGTCCCCATCTTCAAAAAAGGGAAAAGGGAGGACCCGGGCAATTATAGGCCCGTCAGTCTTACCTCAATCCTGGGGAAGCTCTTTGAGAAGATCATCAAGGAGCACATTTGTGATGGGCCGGCATCCGAGATGATGCTCAGGGGCAATCAGCATGGATTTATTAGGGGGAGATCATGTCAGACCAACCTGATTGCCTTTTATGATCAGGTCACAAAGGCCATGGACGCAGGTGTCGCGGTGGATGTAGTCTTTCTGGACTTCAGCAAGGCCTTTGACACCGTCTCTCACCCCATCCTAATTAATAAACTAGGCGACTGTGGCATAGATGCCTACACAGTCAGATGGATTGCAGATTGGCTGAAGGGTCGCACTCAGAGGGTGGTGGTGGATGGATCATACTCGACTTGGGGGGAGGTGGGTAGTGGAGTCCCCCAGGGCTCGGTCCTGGGGCCTGCGCTGTTCAATTTCTTCATCAGCGATCTTGATGTTGGGGTGGAAAGCAACCTGTTTAAATTCGCTGATGACACCAAAATTTGGGGGGAGGTGAGCACGCTAGCAGGGAGAGAGAGATTGCAGAAGGATCTGGATAGGTTACAGGGGTGGGCAAACAGGAACAGGATGTGTTTCAATACGGACAAGTGCAGGGTGCTGCACTTGGGTAGTAGGAACCAGCAGCACACTTATACGATGGGGAGCTCCCTACTTGAGAGCACGGAGGCGGAAAGGGATCTTGGTGTCATTATTGACTCCAAGATGAACATGGGCCGACAATGCGAGGTCATGGTTGGCAGGGCTAACCGGACCTTGTCGTGCATCCACAGGTGCATCTCGAGTAGAGCCAGGGAGGTGATCCTCCCCCTCTATGCGACGCTGGTCAGGCCGCAGCTGGAGTATTGTGTCCAGTTCTGTGCGCCCCATTTCAGGAGGGATGTGGACAACATGGAGAGGGTCCAGAGGAGGGCCACCCGCATGATCCGGGGACAACAGGGCAGACCCTACAGTGAGAGACTGCGGGACCTGAACCTATTCAGCCTCCACAAGAGAAGGCTGAGGGGGGACCTGGTGACCGTCTATAAACTCACTAGGGGGAACCAGAAGGGTTTGGGGGAGACGCTGTTTCCCCTAGCCCCCGCTGGCATAACAAGGAGTAATGGGCACAAGTTGATGGAGAGGAGGTACAGATTGGACATCCGAAAAAACTACTTCACAGTTAGGGCGGCTAGGAGCTGGAACCAACTTCCAAGGGAGGTGGTGCTGGCCCCTACCCTGGGGATCTTTAAAGAAGAGGCTGGATACCTACCTGGCTGGACTCATTTGAGTCCCGTTTTTGTTTTTAGGGGGGTTTTTTGTTGTTCTTCCGCCCTGGCGCTCCCGCCCTGGCGGGGGGGCGGGCTAGAAGATCTATTAGGTCCCTTCCGACCCTAAAACTATGAAACTATGAAGCACATTCCACAAGAGGCCAAGCCAGACTCCCCAAGGTTGGGAGGATCAAGACCACTGCCACCAAGAGGAAGCGATGGATGGTGGTGGTTGGAGACTCCCTTCTGCAGGGGACAGAGGCATTCATATGCTGTCCTAACTTGTTGTCTTGGGAGGTCTGCTGCTTGTCTGGAGCCCAGATCCAAGATGTCATGGAAGGATTACTAGACTCAACCAGCCCTCGAACAGGGGTGGTGGGGGGAATGAACAGGAGGCTGGGGCTAGGTGGGGCCCCCTAATGGTCCCCTCCACACTCCTCTAGCCTCCCCAACCCCTTACTTACCTGCCACAAAGCCGGGTCCAGGTCCCTGCAGCCTGCACTGCTGCTTGCCCAGCACAGGGCCAGCCATAGCCATAGGTAGCTTGCTGGCTACCAGAGTGTCTTCTGTAGAGGATCGAGCCTCCAGTTGCTTCAGGACACAGTCTAGGACTGTGCTCTGCCCTGCTTTTTAACCCTCAGGGTATTTTTTTGACTCCTGGATATCCAGGTATCTAATTTTGCTCCCGCACTGCAAATCTGCAGCACAGAGAACATTTTTTGTTCCTGTACATGCCTCTTGCAGCATCTCAAAGGGGTTTGAGACGCTGCAAGAGGCACGTGTGTGCTCGTTTGGACGCGCCCAAAGAGTCCAAGTCCTAATCAGTAAGCAAGATCCACATCTGTATTCCAGGTAGTGCCAGAAGTCAGGAGCCATGAAACTGAGGACACCCAAACAGGATAAGCAGAAACAGAAAACTGGACAGAAGCCAGGTATAGCTGCGAAGCACTGAGCAACTGAAACCCAAATGAAGGGCTTCAGCTTACAAACGAGGCCCAGACTACTTTACAGACAATTATTTTGTCCCTTGCAGCTGGTGCCATTCTGAAACCAAATGGCCTTGATAAGTGCAGTTTTTGCCTTCTAACACAATCTTCCTTCCCCTTGCCAGGAAAGATTGACTGTCACAGTTCTGAAGAGCTATAAAGCCACTTAGGGCCACAAAAGATGATGAAACTAGCAGAGGAGCCATGAGTGCCAAATTGGTGGTGGTAGAATGCTAATGTGTCAATGACTGCTGGGGTGTTTATTGCTGGTTCTCTCTGGAGTTGACTAAGGGCAACCAACCAAGCCAGATGACAGTGCCAGATGATCTGTGCAGAACTGGTATGAACTACAGAGGTAGCCAAAACTGCCTGTGAAGTCTCAGAGCCTCTGTGGACTTCAGCAGTATCCTCACTGGACTATAAAGTCCCAGAATACATTGAGCAAGGTCTTCTTTTTGAGTCCTATAGAACAGGGGTCTCATTCAGGAACCAAACCTGGATTAGCAGCTGACCAAAAGCCAAGGCCATGGTATAATGAACTAATGTTGGAATACACATGACTGAGTGATGTCTTGAGTCACAGGAGCAAAGACCTCTTTCCAGAATAGGGGGAGATACACCAAAGAAAGGTTAGAATACCTGAAAATGATGGTGCTATGTAGCAAAGTAAAGCAGTGGTGGAAAGAGTTGCCAAGGTCCCAAGAAAAAGTTGGCTATTAATCTATTATATCAAAACAAAAAGAAAATGAGTTTGATAAAGGAAAGAGAAGCAGAAGGTCTCTAAAGGGCTTTGACTGTGGGTTCTAGATCTTGAATCATGAACCAGAGTGCCCAAGATTTTAAGCTACTTGAGGTGGACTGAGAATTGGATTGCAATGCTTTTTTCCTAGTGTGTGGCGTATAAAAAGGGATGGGACTACAGCAGACCCCTGAAGCAAAAAAATCTCCAGTCTTGAGTGCTGTCATGTGTAGTAGCGAGAATGTTAATATGGAACTCTTATCTACCTTAATTTATTGTGTTATCCACCTATGTTTCTATGATTTTTTGAAAATAAATCCTTGTAGGAACCTATTTGTATATGCAATTGTACTCTGCATTAGATAATACACTGTTATTGGGGTACAATAGGGAAGAGATAACTTGATGAAATGTCTCCCCCCAGGGTCAATACTCTTACAGGAACATATTAAGAGGACTTAGTTGCCCTATTTTAAAATAGCATTCTTGACTGTACATCTATTTTAAAATGGTTTGGGATCTACAAATGGATTTTTTTTTTTTAGAATGTTCTGTCAGTTTAACTAATCTGTCTTTCATGAAATATTTGCAATGAATTTGTATTTTCCTTAAAAATATAACACATTCATCACTTAAAGCCAGTGTGGCAAACAACCCACAGGCCAGATCCAGCCTATAGAGCTGTTCCATCTAGTCAGCCTCGCTTCTGGAATTTGAAGGTTTGGCCTGCCACAGAATTCAGGGCATCTAGGCTCTGTTGTACACAGCTGTAGGTGGCAGGGGGCAAGTGAGGGTTGTGCCGACACAGCCCCACTTGACCTGTGGCCACCTGGCCTGCTGATACTGCATCCCATTCCCATCCACTACAGATGGACCCACCGCTGTTGCAGCTAGTAGTCCCATGCATCTGGCCCAGGAGGAGCTCTGAGGCCTGGGGCAAGTTTGGCAGCTCTGAATGAAAGAATTTTCAGCATCCAGAGTTAAATAAAAAAAAAAAAGAACAAATAAAAGGAACATTCCAATCAAAAAAAATCCATCTAACAATACCTGTCAAAATAGTTCGCCGTTTACACTGTTCTTCCACACCGCCTTGTCTTTTGCCAGATTGAGTAAAAGGCATCTCAAACATAAAACGCCGAATGTTGTGGGCCCTCTCAAAGTCTGTTTTTCTCTCTTGTAACTCCTTTTCTTCAAAGTATGGAATTACATGTGTAACTTGAATATATGCATATTTAGAGTCCAAATCCTTAGGATTTACCTTTAGAAAAATAGGGAAAAAATTAAATCACAATTAAGTTTGATTGGTTTGAAAGTGCACAAGTACTAGGAATTCAATTTTGGACTCTGATCCTGCCAGTTACTCCAAATAAAGAACTACTGGGCTCCTGTGGAGCAACATTTATTTTAATGCAGATGCACTCATCTTTTTCATTTAATCATTGGAGGCTGGACATATAACATCAGAAGAGTTTACAAAATACACAATTTTCTACAATACTTGCATTATATAGGGCTGCAGAGTAAGAGAGACGTGGTCAAAGAAACATACCCACTGCTTACATTCATTCCAATGAAAGCTATATTAAAAGAAAGTTTAGACAACTGGGGACTCAAAAAATCAGGAACCAATATCAGTTGATACAAGGAGGTTTTTAAGACCCAGGAAGACAGTCTTGGCTGGGATGATCTAGTTGGGGATGGTCCTGCTTTAAGCATGAAGTTGGACTAGATGACCTCCTGATGTCCCTTCTAACCCTAACTTTCTATGATTCAATGAAACCAAAAATAATAATTTTTAAGTGTACTATAGGCACAACATCAGTACCTGGAGAGGATATCTTTCTTATTCCCATAATTAACTGAATGCATACAAAGGTGTTCTCAGAAGGGTAAGACTAACTCACTATAACAAGAAAAATCTGGGCTCTGCTTCCAAGTCACAGAAGTGGGAAAACTCTGAGAACAATCTAGTTTGAGCTGGCAAAGCCATCACTATACCTCTGTTGGCAGTAAATAGGCCAGATGTCCTACACTGAAATAAATTATTCAATTTTGTGTTAACAGATAAATGTATTAGGAATGTGAAATTGAGATAAAAATCAGAGCAAAATAATGAATTGCAATGCTTCCCACTATTTGAAAACAAGCGCCTAACAATTCCCTGCCCCCAAGTTTATATGCAGTGATGTTCAAAGATCATACTATTGATTTTCCAAGGGTACATGGAATGAAGTAATTAGAATGTGAGAAGAACTCCATTTTCTTTTAAACAACGTGTTCTACTCTGTAAGAAAATATAATCCTACTTTGCCAGAATCCTGGATCATTCTGACATTTTCAGATCCAAATTTGTCAGAGTAGAGCTTTTGTAGTCTCTGGGATATCTCCGAAAGAGGTGTCAGTTTCGGCTCTTTATAAATATACTCCTTTCCATCTTCATCCTCAAAGAAGCCCTGTGAAAAGAAACAATGAGAATTTTTAAAGAATAATTAGGCATTAATATAAGGCAATTATATTGAGTGGTTTGTACTTTTCCAGGCAAACACACTTAACGCCAAGGTTCAAGCAACATTAGAAAGAAAAAAAAATGTCAAAACAAAATCCAAGTAGAAAAGATATCCTAAGAAAAAAGAAAAAGGAAAATGTGTATATTTAAAAAAAATAGGTGCACAGGTAATGGAAGAACATAAAATTATAAACTTAGAGGAATGTTGTAATTATATGGTATGCTAATATTAAAGCTTCTGAGGTCAAAACTTATTTCTCACATTTATATTAAATGAATCATTTTCATTCCTGTTTCACTTGCCAGATCATTGATCTTCTTGCATAAGGGATTATTTTACACACAACTAGATCTTCAACAGCAACGTACAGAAAAACTCCTGAAGAGCTGTTCCATGTAAAATGGATTGTACAAAATAAAAATCACTTCTATCATTTCTCATTTAAAATTATTTACATTAAGTTGTGCAGCACTACGAAAATGGTTAGAACAAGTTAACCATCTGTTTTAAGATTTTAGTTGAATCCAATATAGAGGTGTATGGAAGGTGAAACAGGTGACCATTTTAAAGCAAAAAAGCCACTTGAGTTCATGTTTAAGACCAGAAAAAATAAATGTTTCTGTCATAAGATGAACAGACAAAATAGCAAGAGCAGCACAACATACCATGTATAAACAAAGGCTAGACTGACAAAAATACCCACATCAAATTAAGCTGAAATGCAGTAATTTTTACTGCATTGCTTGCTTTGAAAGCAGTTACTGCAATTACCTCCACATCTGTTTCACTGTCTGTAAACTGGTATTGCTATGAAGTTATAAAAGATAACAGAAAAAAAACAGGTTATACTGTTCACTGTACATAACCCCATGTCCTAAATAGCTGTCAGCTATCCACCTGACAGATAATGACAACTGGGATACACACACCAAAAAGCCCCACTATTTTTGCTACTGAGAAATAGACTATGTAGATAGACACTGGAGCATGTGAAGTTTTCAAATGCAAAGTCAGCCAGAAGGTTTGATTTTGTTTAAAGCATGCAGTACTGATGTTTAGGAAATAGGTGATTTGTTTCTGTAAATGGAACTGAGTGTTATTTTTTGAATTGCAATAGCTAGAAAAGCATACAGCTGAAAAGCAAATCTTGCAAACCACACTGCAGCATCAAGACATTGCTCAATAAGTGACCAAGAATTAAGCATTGTAAGGAACTTACCGCTGCCTTAAGATAGTAACACAAAAAAGAAGAAAGAAGAAAAAGCAGAAAGTTTACTGAGGAAGGCATAGAAGCATTAGGCCAGGTTTTACATATGTATTGAAATAAAAAAATATTTAATATGGTTAATCATTTCTATCGGAATAAATGTATCATGCTTTTTATTTTGTAGTATCAAAGAAAAACTAATGGTAGACTGTGAAACAGGATATTTTGCAAAATAATTAATATTTTATAGTTCTGCTATAATTGAAGGGATATTAGTTACTTACCTGTCCAAAAAATGCTACTCTGAAGTAAGTGCCCAGCAGTCTCTTGCCTGTATGCATTACTTCTGTCACTTTGCTGTATGCCCGATGAAGTGTATCATATAGGTGAGCTAATCTCTAGAAATAAATGACAATACAGAATTTTTTAATGGCAGCACTCAAACCAACACTTTAGTTTTCCCTTAAATGTAAACATAGCACCATGTGAAGGTGCAAAACTCTTACAGACAATAATATCAGTTTCAGAGGCTGGATATTAACAATAGTAACAGGAACAACATTCAGAAATTATACATCAATAGAATTAATCGACTAAACACCACAGACAAGCATTAGGTTTTTACTAGGAGAATTGCTTTTCTCTTGGTAGAAACAAATGTAAAATGTTCACTCCGTTTCTCCAGGAAAAAAAAATCATCAACACCATCTCAGCAGAACTTGCTCCTGGGGAGATTTTCTCTTGGTAGAATGAACACTTGTACACTATGCCACAGGTCAACTTCTCCTAGGGAGTCAAGCCACAAGGAAAGGCTCCCATGCCTTCCAGAATTAACCTGGGGATTGTACATAGAAATCTCATAGAAATCTGCCTAGAAACTTCACTCTTCCACTTGGGATCATAACAATAAAAAGATTTGAGGTCAGGAAGGAATTTTTCCCTCAGGTCAGACTGGCAGGGACTGTGGCATTTTCTTCCCCCAACCTCTCTCGGTAGTGTGGGGGGTGGTGGTTCTTTCTAGCATCTTGCAGGCATATACTGACCAACCACTTTTCTGGCAGACCATTACCAGTAGCCCTGTCATCTTTGCTTTTTCCCTGCTATGGCCTGTTGTAGGGCATTACTGGCATTTCTGCTTTTGCGCCTTGTAGCTGTAGTGTCTGAAGGTTTACAATGCATCATTTTTAGGATCTTTGGGTAAGTGATTGCCAGATACAGAAGACTGGACATGATGGTCTGGGAGTCATGTTTCAGTCCTATGTTTCTATCTTTCAAATAAATATTTAATACAGTTTCTGAAAAATACCAACCTTGATTGTAACATTGCCTCCCCAAATGTGTTATGTATGTATGTACAAGTTTAAATGACTATCACAGGAATTAAAAATGCACTAAAACTTTGGATTTGGCTCTGTATTTGCCACTGGCTTTCAAAAAGATTTAAAAAAAAAATGCCAAAAACAGTTTATTACATTACCTTCTTCCTATCTGTAAGCCACTTTAAATTTTTCAGGGCTTACCTGAAAAGTGACTATGGAAGTAAGAGGTCAAACTTTGACTTTTTAAAAACGAAATACATTTACATTTGAATAATTTTATACTTCAAGATTGTTGTAATGCTATATACATAAGTTGGTTTCAGTATATCATACTGTTGGAAAAGCATGATTCCAAAGGCATAAAACAAGGAACCAAAGTCTATCAAATACCTCAAAATCTCTCCGCTTTTCATAAATGGGAATTATAAGCTTATATACGTCAGCAATCAGTTCATAACGTTCAGCCTTCCAGAGCCCATCAGCACACTGCTCTAATAATTCCATCAGTACATCCTAGAAATACAGGAAAAGAAAATGTATTATTTGATGCTGTTGACATGGACACTATACAAAAGATCTTCCCAAGGAAGAAGGTTCTCAAAACAAAATCATTTAACAGTGCCGTATTTAAAATAAAATATTAACAAGAAGTACCAGAATAACAAACATGTATGGAGTTCTGCATGGCCATACATACATACATACATACATACTCACTGACTCTTTACTGTATACAACAGGTTTATTTTAGAGAATTTTATAACCTACTCAGTGGGACTATTTCCAAGAAGGAAAACATATGTGCTTTATTGCATAGCTTCTGTGTATGTACACATTTATATTTAATCAAGCAAATACATTTTATATTTTTTGTTTTAGAAGGCAGTTTTTAAACAGAAAGTTCTGTTTCGCTGTTGTCTTTAATTATTCCAAAATAATGTTGGGAAGAGCAAATTAACCAAGCAGAACATAAGCGTTATAGTTTGTATTTAACTTATACATAGGACTAGAAACTTATTTACATTTCTAGCAAAATTAGGTGCATTGCACTAATCTCTGCCCAGAAATCCATGCTTAGTACAGTACTAAGCATGAGTTTCTGAGTCCGAAAGGCAGATGACAAAACTCAAGAAATTGGGAAATTTGAGGAAACAGACTAAGTTAACTGGGCATATCACCCCTGGCTGGTTTTATCTTATCTCAAAAAAAATAAAAAAAATAAAAGACAGCTTAGTTGGGGTCAAACAGTTAATATTGACTTGTATTGACATTTAATGCAACAACAGTCAAGTTATTTTCTCTTTTGTGTATCACCATACATTTAATAATCAAGAACAAAATAAGTTATTAAATACTATCCTCCCTTCAAAAACTTGTTATATTTTAGTTTTCAATATATTTTATTAATTTTGCTATATCCTTGACATAAAGGAATATTATGTTAAGAAAAATGAGACAAAAACAGCTTCAATATCAGTCTAACAAACAAAATAAATTTCAGGATTGGATGAAAAGGAAATATTTCACAGGGCAGAATTAGAGACTACATTTGTAATGGGTTAGTGTCACTGATAGATTTACATAAAGATTTAAGGCTGATAAGCAAGTATAAAGTTCACTTAATGTAGCTTTGTATACAAGTCTCTGTCTTTACCACGATTATGATCAACTTATTTTATTTCATGAAAGGATTATCATGAGACTATTGTTAATTTTAAATGGTTTCAGTAATGATGGTAATTTTTCCTGGTAGTTCTTAGATTGGGCCACCATTTAACATTTAGAAGCTGTGCACCAGAGGGTGCAGACAGCAAATAGATACCATATTATGGAACTGGTAACTTTGACTAAATATTCCTTCTGTCATTCTGTTTGCACTTCCCTTTGTCATCTGTAGCCTAATGGAAAAGCAGATTATTGTGTTTAGTGAATGTATATTTTTGAATCCTGGTTTATGTCTTGTTCCAAATTTAATTTGTCTCTCCTCTCTTTAAAGGAATCATGGAAAGAGTAGTGTAGGGACTGCCAGAGGTGACTACAGACCAAAAAACTACCTTTTCTCCCTTCTCCCTCTAAACTACACCACATAGGCAGACTACAGAATCTAACAAAGTTAAGAGATGCAGGATCAAGACCACAATCTAATTTTCTAGATGTAAAATCAAAGCACATGGCTCTGTAAGAAAAGATTTATCACACTAATACATTAATTGTTTTACCTTCATAAAGCCCATTCACTCTTCTACCATGTGTGTATGTTACATAATGGTGCATTATACCGAGCTGCCTGCAACTTCCCAGCCCAATTTCTACTTGCATTGCCTGGGAGAAGCCTACAGCATGAGTTCTGAACTAACACCTCTGGATTTGTAGCAAGATACCTCAACTGCTCAGCCATCACACCTCTTGTATAGTTCTTTGCATTCTTTGGTCATATCACACAACAAACCTTTGATTTTGTCTGTGTAGTGACAACTTACCACTTTTTATTCTACCTATTTTCTACAGTTAGATACTGATATACTAGTTAGCACTGTGAAAGTCCTTTAACTCTAAGAAATTTAAAATATTTATTCCTTCTGCATTCATTAAATGTTTAGAAAAATAAAACAAAATATGAGTTAATTCACAGAGATTCTATAAACAGACTATACCTACTACATGACTGCACTTGCAGATAGCGCTTAGGTGTAAATATGCTATACTTGACAAATATATTGTTTGTTTTAAGGAGCAATAATCTGCTAAAGTATGTGAACACATTGCTGTATACATTGTACACTGCTCAACTGTAGCAGCACTGCTACCACATCACTAATTTATGCTCTGCAGAGTATCATCCTAAGCAGCTGACAGCATCTGAGATCTAGATGCTGCTGTTAAAACAGGTTACCTTCTTTACAGCCTCCTAGTACTGAACGCATAAAGGCAACTGCTTTCCCCTGCCACAGGGGTTTCAAATTTGCTTGGTATCTAGGGCCAGATCGAGAATGAAGATCTTCTCATAGGACAGATCTGGATCCACCTCTGGCAGGGGGAGTCGAATCAGGAGGTATTAATTCAGCCATGGCTTGCTAACATGCATCCTCAATAGGGCTCCACGGATTGCCAAAAACTAACTCATCTAGGAGCCCAGAGGCTTCTAACTCCTCTAGGAGCCCTGCAGGCTGGATGACAAGGGCATGCAGTCTACCAGCCATATACCTGATAGCCTGCTCTACTATTATTTGGTCATGCTAATGAAAGAAGACAGAAGACAATAACCTGAATTGTCTTTCCAACCTGAATAGGATGGAAAATGGCATCTGAAGATGAAGAGAAAGTGACATTCAAAGGCCAGATCATGTCCTCTAAAAATCAGTCATCTAAGTCAGCAGTTGGCAATCTTTTTAGGCTGCAGGCTAGAGTGACCCCATTTGAGCCAGAGGCACATTGGCAGACAAGTGCTAGGACCCAGCTGCTGCCACCATTTATCTTATGGCAGCACAGGGGGAGTGCCTGCAGCTAGTGATTCCCCACATGGCAATATAGAAAAGCAACTGCTGCCGAAGCCCCCACTGTTGAATGCTACCGAAACCCCATGTCCACAGGCAGGATCTGGCTCACGGGCTGTAGATTGTGAAGCCCTGATGTAAGCATAAGGAATCTCAATTGTTCCTAAGCATAAGGAATCCCTACAGTTCTATTAAAGGGCACTAATATTATTTGATAATTTTCATATCAATACTAGGCTGGATGCTACTCCACCTACAGTGACCTTAGTAGCCCTTACGTGCAATTCTTTTCTACCCTGCTCAAGTCTCTGAAAAACCTGACACAAAAAGCGTGTGGATCCTCCTTCTCCTAGCTGCATATTACAAACACAGATGCATTAATGGATTTTTAGGTATTTGAATAGGACAGAAAAGAACCACATTTAAATGCTTAATAGGTGGGTAAGATTTGGCTCATTATATTCAATATTTAGTAAGACTGAGAAAAAGGCAGAACCTACCCTGAAGATCTTACAAGTTCAAAAGACATGACACAGAGTACACTGGAAAATACAGATGAAGAAAAAATATATACCACTACTCCATTATTTATTATTTTATTAGCTGTGAACAAATGATACAACTGTGCTTTAGGCAGCAAGGGAGAAAGGTAAAATATTTCTTGGGGTTTTTTTTCCTTTCTCCTTAAAATGGAATTGTAGCTTACTGTTTCCAAGGTATTTTTAAAAGCTTTTCACCTAATCAGTGCCATCCTTGTGGCACAATGGATTAATTTTTCCTCACCTAAGTACAGTAAGATTCGTGTCTCACTCTCTTCCATACTCATGCACATGGTAAGCACTTTATAACCTATTGGATCCATGATTTAATAATAATCTTGTGAACTACAGACCTAGTTAAATGTTTACTTATGTACTAGGAATAAAAAGGGGTGAAACCACATTTAAATGCAACTGATAAAAAAAAGCCTGATGCTGCAAGTTCACTTATCATTTAATGTTGCATGCATAAAGTCATTTCGTGCTTCTCCTGCATGCTTCCAAGATAAAATGAAGTATCAGAGTTCATATTAATAAGCATATTAAAATCACTAGCCTATAAAATTTATTGTTCTTAAATTCCTTCATTTTACATATGTATTTGTTGCACTTCTATTTCATATCAAATTTTCAAAGCTAAACAGGCATCACAACTAAATAGCTGTTTTTACTTTATTTCAGAAATAGTTTACAGTATAAAAAATACCGATTAAAAAAAAATACAACTAAAACTACATGAAGTCACATATTAAAAATCCCTGGTCTTTACCCGATTGCTTTTTCTCGGAAATAGAATGGCAACCATGACTATAAGAGCAGGCCCAGTCTAGAAAGGACCTGGAAAACACTGATGATCAACGGATAGCACTAGTACCAATCCATCAAGTGCTTTGCTGCAGTGGTTCTCAACCTTTTTTGTACCAGGACCCATCTGTGAATATTGATGGCCAGTCCCAACCCAGTAAACAGTTTAAGTAGAAAACAGCCCCCTGGCTCTGCCAGTGTCCCTCACTCCTGACCTGCTGCTCCCAGGCCCCAGCCCTCCCTCCCCCCTCACCCAGTGACTGGGTCATGGGAGGCTCCAAGCAGCACCTTGCAGGCTGGAAATGTACCAGCCTGCAAGGAAAAACCCAGAGTTTCCCATGTTTTTCTCCTTTAAAGGACAATCCACTTTTAAAGTTTACTGATTTATTTCTTAAAAGTTTGTTCACAACCCTTTCATACATTCATGCAACCCTTCGGTTGAGAAACACTGCTTTATTGATCTTTGGCAGACAAGTTTCTTTACTGCACTTTGTGTCCCTAACATCTCCGTCAGCTATACTGTTGATCCAATAAAGACATTACCAAAAAAAACATTGAACCATGATGGCTACAGTCTAACCCTAACTACTGCTCAAATCAGTTCACTTCAGTACTTATAAATAATGTCATAGAACTGATTAAACTCTTCAGCGCTTTCACTATGTATTTTTTTCCC